CGGGTCGGATGAGCCTCACCAACCACATCGGCACATCACCCATACTCCCCCTTTGTCTTGTTGTCCAGTGTCTCTTCAGTTGTCCTCTTTCCCCTGATTATTGGCAGGGCTGTTTTTGCTAGTAAGGCCACACCAAGTTTTTTCATTGTTTCTCGTCACCGCGCGCGTACCTTTCTTGAGGATTGGACCAAAAAAAATCTCGCGTCCCGGTAAACACGCATAAAAAGGCGTTGTAAAAGTACGCGCAGCGTCAAATCTGGAGTGCATTTAGCACAAGCGCGCACTTGGCTGTTCTTTTATGTACCCCTTGTATAATAACTTTGGTTTGCTTTCTTTCCTATTTAAATAACATGCAACACTGGACTTCCTCACCAGAGGCCGGTGCAGGAGCCTGGTTTTCTGGCTGTATGTTGCAATTGACTGTCACGCGTGGTGTATAGTCTGATTTTAGGTCATAAATTGGGCCTTTGTAGTGTAAATAGCAGTTTTTGTTTTTCAAACCCTATTTTGTTTTTTTTCCGCCCGCCCGCGTTCCTTTTGAGATTTTCAGGTGACGAGAAACAATGAAATAACTTGGTGTGGCCTAAAAAGCAAAAGAAAAAAGAAAATGGTGACAAACGTGGGATCAAGACGACTGCACCAAACGTTGGAGCTTGCGCTTCCTGCCGACTGACTTTTAAAACACTTGACTGACTCATGACTGTCGTCTGGGGCACAAAAGAACCATGTCGAGCCTTCCACTCAGCAAACTTGCAAGACAGCGCCACTCACTGCTCAACACACAGTGTTTTTGGAAATTGAATACCCTGATCAGTTGAGCTTGAGTAGGCCATTGAAATGACTGTATGTTGCACAAGCCCTACAACTTACAGCACCCCAGCAGCGCAGACATCATTAAAGATATCAACTTACAATGAAGCTCTGTTTCCAGTCCAACAAACACCCCGTGAGCACCAGGCAGCACTGAGCTACATAGGGTGAGTCAGTGATACATGTGGAGATGTGAGAACAGGTAATACAGGACTTTCGAATATTCGCAATCGGGAATGCATCTAGTCACATCCCCGTGCCAGTGATTCCAGGACAAACTAAGGTAATGCACTTTCGGTGGTGACAGTTCATTAATTTAATACATCTGGTCCAGCTGCTCGTTCTTCACATACCACTGTTTAAGTCGCAACATCTTAGTTCATAACAGGCCCACCGTCGGAACCGGTCCGGTTGGTCAGGTCATCACTGGATTAACTTGTTGGCCACCAACCGTGACAGACATGTTTACAGCTGAGGAGGTTGTTTGCACCCACTATAATGATCATACACGATGTTTGAAAGACTATGCTATGACCGGACCAATCTAAAACTGCTTCCGGAGGCCCTGCATAATTATTGTTTTCTCTGGTGCGGGAATGCGACTACAGAAGATGGTTGGATAGTGTTGCGAATGTCCAATGGCCCTCAGCGTATGTTCTCACAGCTCCATGTGCAACATCATTGACTCATGGTGCTATCTGGTGTTCGTGAGGTATTCGTCGTGCTGGAAACAGAGCGTCACTGGAAGTTGGTATCCCTAGTGATATTTGGGATACTGGAGCGCTATAAATTGCAGTGCACCTGCAGCTTAAATTCCAGCCTACTCAAGCTGAACTGACGAGCGGTGTATTCCCCGAAAAAGCAGTGCATTGGGCAGGGAGTGGGCTTTCTTGCAGGTTCGCGCAGTGTGCTCGTGTGCCCCAGATGGCAGTCCTGGTCAAGTTTAAAGGTCAGCCGACAGGAAATGTCAGCTCCAGCGTTCGGAGCACCCACCTTCTTCACATGGTTAGTCTTTGCTTCTCATGTTACATTTGCTGGTATGTGCGTGACAGGGACGTATGTGTGGATCAGAGCCAGAGGATTAAAAAGCTCCTTTGCAAGCTGAAAAGAAAGAGAAGAGAGGAGAGACGCAAGCAGTGGTGCCGAGAAGGAGCAGGACACTCTGCCGCCGACAATAGCCAGCATGACGGTCATAGTAGCAGTTCTGAATCGCCCAGTGACTCGCACACTGTACTCTCTCCTACTACTAGTCCTATCCAACATGCAAGTGATGTGAGAAATGCTCCGTGTGATGGTGATGCTCAAACAACACCCAGATTAGGAATACAGCCAAATGCCACAAGTGCAAGTACAGTAAATCTAGCAGAGGCGTGCTCTGACAACCCATCGCCCAAGCCTACCATACTCCCAGAGCTGCACCCATCTCTCCGCAGGCTTGATGCTCTAAAAGAAGGAGAAAGGCAGGTTGAAGTGTCATTAGTGCGTCCAAGAGCTAAGTCTTCCAGTGCTGCTGGTTTGAATCAGTGTTCAAGATCTCCTCGTATCCAATGCCGGCACTCCATCCAGGCACCCCTGACATGTTCAGCTGATGGAAAGTATGAGTCTGCGGCAACATTTTCACCAAGGCTTGCTCCCGAGTCTGCTACAACTTCACCAAGGCTTGCTCCCGAGTCTGCGACTAGATTTTCGCCAATGCTTGCTCCCAAGTCTGCGCCAAGATTCTCACCAAGACTTGGTCATGAGTCACAGTCTGCAACAAGATTTTCACCAAGGCTTGGTCGTGAGTCTGCTACAAGATTTTCACCAAGGCTTGCTCCCGAGTCTGGGACAAGATTTTCACCAAAGCTTTCTAAGTGTGAGTCTGAGACAAGATTTTCACCAAGGCTTGCAAAACGGCAAGATAGTATTGCTCTCGCACGACGCCATACGGAAGGCAGCAAAACTGATCACTACTCTCAATCCAACCACAGTCCTGTACTAAGGCCGACCAAGAGACTCCATCATGGATTTGGTGGTAGTGTTCAGCACCTTGTGTAGCAGGACACAGCTCAGTCTACTTACTTATTACCTGGTGCAGGCGTGTTTGTTTTCCAGCTTCAATTTCTTCCTTTTGGTGAATATCTTCCTGTTGGTGAAAAATTCATACAAAAGAGAGACACCCATCACCATAGGAAAGTGGAGGATTTAACATAATATGATATTGGCATCATGGCGGGCCGTTCCATGGTCTACATGCAGTCGAAACCATGATAACTAAACAATGCGGAAGATAGTTACAGCATTCATATTGCTCTGCATGTTAGGAACTTTGGATCAAGCGCTTCCTTCTCTTCTTTGCACCCAAAATATTAGATGCGGTACTACTTTTTCAGTCAAATGCAGCATATTTTCAACATTTTTATCTGCAAATACTGCATGTCATGCATGTCATTATATTAATTATTTACAAAGTATATTGCAAAAATTCATTGTTTGTGCTCCCAGTTGCTGACCTGGACATTCACTGTGCTGAGCGCTATTTTCAAGTAGTTGTCACTATTGAAGTATTCTTATTCTAATACTGCCTGCTCTTTAGTATTGCACTTGAGCACCTCCTTTTTGTTCTCCAGGTAAAATAGGGTAGCTACCTTATTTTCCAGAGTGCAAGCCGGCTAGCTGCACTGGAGTATAAGCCGTAATCAGATTTTTTTGTCACAAAATAGTAAATTTGACCATCGTAGTATAACACCTTCGCCATGTTTTTGACCAGTTCCGCTGAACTTTAACTGAGGGTTTCGATCTATGGTTTTGCTTTAGCTCTATATTAAAGTTGCTGTATGTTGACATTTTTCCTTTATTCCCTGTACTTACGCCATGATGAGAAGGGAAAGAAAACGTGAATCATTACTGGTGTATTTAAAAGTGTGGCATATACCCCCTGAGAAAATTATGGTTATCGTACAGCAAAAACGAGCTAATAAACTACTCTGGTAGAAATGTGTTGGGCTCTCACCAGCAATACTGTTGGCACTTTCTATTTCATCCCCACCGCAGTGCACAGGATTTCGTCATACGTTTTTGGATCAGTTATGGCTGGTGCAATTTCCTTCTCACAACTTATCCTGTTTATCGCTGTTCGTTGTGTTTGCAGCCAAAGCTCACACTGCATGCCCTCTTTCTGACAGACACCTATCTCACGGAACGTTCTTTG